CCTCTGGACCCACCATGACAACTTCCCTTGGGAACAGCTCCAGCTCCTCCACCACATGGCTCCCAACTCCACACACACCTGTCAACTCCACAACCAGCCCTTCTTCCCCGACACCCTCCGACACACCAACCTCAACCCGCAACAAGCCACCGCCGCCGCCCTCCGCATCCTCCAACACCTCTTCCACACCCTCAGCACCAACAGCACCTCCCAGCACTGGCACACCCAGTCACGCCACCGCCTCCTCAACCAGCTCCAGCACTACATCCACCGCCTCGAGCACTGCCGTCCCGACAGCGCACGCCTCTTCAAAGGACCCCGCAACCCCCTCACCACCATCAACAAGTACTTCAGCGACATCCACCTCTTCCTCCGTGCCCACAACCACAGCGCCTGTGCCTGGGAACACGTCCGCCTCGAAGCTCAACCCTCTTTCCACCACCTCCACAACCTCACCCGCGCCATGCGCCGACAGCCCAAACACACACACACAGCTCCACCCACCCCCACAACACCCCTCTGACACCCACCACCCGCACCCACCTCTGCCCTCCCGCCTCCCCTCACCCGACGAAACACACACCGCTCACACAACGCACTCGTGCCCTACAACCCCTCTCCCCTATTTATTTGCACAAACACACGGATTTACCTATTTATTTATTTATTTGCCTATTGATTTATTTCTCTATTTATCCACTTATTTATGACACACCAAATGAAGACCTCTTACAAAACAAGTCCCACTGCCTCTTGTCTCACCAGCACAGCAACCCCCCTCTGGGACACAGGGAAGTCACCTCCAATCAACACCTCCACCGAGCCCTGACCCTAACACGGCTCTCAGCACATCCCCTGACCCCTCTTCTCCCTGCTGCCTCCACAGGGATGATCTTGCAGCAACCTCTTTTGAAAAGCAATGCCTGGTGTAAGCATCCCTATTACAATTATCTCCTGAGTCCTCATGTCCTCTATGCTTTCCATCTCCATCAACTGATGATTTGAGCTTGGGTCCTCAGGCTAATGGTACCTGTTGGAGCAGATCCAAAGGATGGCCACAAGCAGAACTGAGTAACACAGCACTGCTCCTACATAGAAAGGCTGAGACAGTTGTGGTTTTTCAGCTTGGGTAAGTAAAGTCTCCAGGCAGACCTTACTGCAGCCTTTTAACACTTCAAGGGAGCTTAAAAGAAAGACAAGAACAGATTTTGAAACAGGGGCTGGAGCGACTTTGGAAGGAATCTTGGAATGGACTTGAGAGCATGTAGTGACAGGACAAGGGGAAATGTCTTGAAAGTGAAAGAGAGTAGGTTTAGATGAGGTATTAGGAAGAAATTATCTACTGTGAGGGTGGTGAGACACTGGCACAGGTTATCCAGAGAAATTATGGATGTCCCATCCCTGGACAGTTTCAAGGTTAAATCAGATGAGGCTTTGAGCAATCTGTTGTAGTAGCTGGTGTCCCTTCCCATGGCCAGGGGCTTGGAGCTAGATTACCTCTGTGGTCCCTTCCAACACAAGTCATTTTACAACTCACGTCAGGGAAGCTTTGCAGGAGTGTCTCCTGTGGTAGGGGCAGGGTTTCTTTTTTTAAGGTCTGCAGCTGGACAGGGCTTTGTCTGGGTCACCGCTGTACTCACCTTAAACTATCTGACTCTGGTTGCCCCTAACTCTACATGGAAGACCTGGTATACTGATTTGGATTTTAAATTATGGCACTTATCCAGTGATACCTCTTTTTTAGATCACCGCCTGTGGCTCCACTTGTGCCTCTACAGATACACTGCATCACTTAATCACGTAACTGTTCTCAGTTACATAGTATCAAACTTTCTCTACAAGACCCTTATCTTAGCTTTATAAAAAGAAAATTCTTCACCATTTTGCAATGTAGGCTGAGGTTCTTTTTGAACCTATCTTCAAGCTCAGCCTGTCTCACATGCCATTTACATTCTGCATCCAGATAAGGAAGAAAAATCAGCACACACTCCTTTGTGCAGCTCACCTGCACTTGTTGCCATGCAAATATCTGCACTCATGAGGGCCTTGAAAAACTGTCAGATACACTTATTGTCTGCCAGTTTCTTTACTTGCTGCACAACCCTACCTCTTGGTAAAAGAAAACACTCGTCCTCACACTTCATCTAGATTTGACAAAATGTTCTAATGTTGCTACAACAATTGGAAAATTCTCCACTCAGAAGCACAGAGCACATTCACTTCTATCTAAAGATTTTGCAGATGAGACAAATGCATGATACGACAGTTGCTCCATATCAATTTACATTACCTTGCTGTAAAAATTTAGAAAACAAAATATTTTTAAAAACCTAGAACATAGAACATAACAAAGAGCTCCTAAACACCATTAAATGAACCAATTTACATGGCACAAATGATCAACACTGAAGACAACTTGTTAAAAATGAAATAAACCAAGTCATTTACTTACCATTGGTAGCCTGGATTGAAGCATCTGGAGATCATCATAACCATAAATCTGCTTAAAGACAGACAAAAATACAAGATCATTATAACACTTTTCTCTGATGCTGCTCAATTTGGGGCCTTGAACAGAGTTTTACTTAGGCCCACTCTATATTAAAGGTGTACAGTTCCACATTGTATTGTGTTAACAGGGACTGTAGCATTTTAAGGCTAGTAGAAAACTAAGGTTAAAATTGGCTTGTCACTGATGTTGTTTCCTGATGACAGCAGTCCTCTGAGGGGAGTTTGACTGTCCCATTTTCAATACGGTTTTCACAGATACATCATTCCTTAACTTTTGAAAAAATCTGCAGAGCATTCAGGTTTGGGAGTAAGAACAACAGCCCTCTTTGCTGTAACCATTACTTTAGAGAGCAGCAACATTTAAGATCTGATGACTAGACCACAAAGCAACCTATGGTATCCCCTCACATTTAGTCTGATATAGAAAAACTACTGGAATAAAGTTTTAGATTCAAAAACCAGATAACCAAAAATACCTTGATCCTGGTCAAACACCAACAACTTACGTGTCATTTTTCAACTCGGCAGATAGGACACATGGAACATTTCAACCATTACCGCGGTAAATCTATTCCAGTAACACAAACCTAAATGAGCCTAATTCTATTCAAAGGGTCTAAAACCTGGTAACACTGAAAACCATAGAAATACATGTTTAGCTACAAGAGCAGCCAGATCAAGTCTGCACCAACAGCTCTGCAGTTTACTACCAATAGTAAGCCCCTACTGAAAGTATTTAATACATTCTTTAGCACTTAGAACAAGAATTCCAGGTGACGTGTGCCACCAAAAATGCCTTGGCATAGACAGTAGCAGGTCTGGAGGGCCCACTTGGGCCAAGGGTTAAGCAATCAAGGACAAAAACAATGAAACTGCTTACTGGGTAGGCAGGCAGAAGTCCTCCAGGTCCCACAATATACTGGTTATGCAACAAGGGTGGTACACCTTGAGGCAGGTTTGGGGGTGCTTTGCCTGTAGAATCAAAATGCAGACATTTTAACAAGCCTTTAGAAAAGGAAAGGCTTTAGCATTGAGACAAGATAGCTGCACAAGTTCTGGTGGCTGCACTGCCTTAGCTAGTAAAGAGCAAAACTACGCAGAAGTTTTGTGCTCTTTGATGAAAATGCTCAAAATAGCCTGAAGAGTTTAACTATGCGTTAAGGAAGGGAAAGCACAGGCTACTTAAGACTGAAAACAGTCCTAAAGAACAGGCCTGATTTTGTAATTTACTTTGTCCAAGGCAAATTTTAGACATCATTGCAATCTGAGAGAGCAAATTCTCTCATTTTCTGCTCTGTCAACACATTCCCCCTTATCACCAGCAATAGACTGGAAAGCACCAAATGCTGCCAGCATACTTTCTGTGGGTGACTTACTGCAGCTGGGAATAGCAAAGAGAAGATGACTGAAATGGTTTCAGCTGCCTCCATGTCGCAGTGCGAGGAAGCAGAACAGTAAAAGAACAAAGCACTTCAGCCAGTCATCAGACACTTCCTTTACAAACTATGGAAATGAGAAATCCTTCTGCAAGTAAGCTTGATCTTAGTATAAGATCACTCACTTCCCTCCATAGGATTTCCTTTTAGTAGTTCAGGTTTATTAGGTAAGAAAAAATTAAGCATTGCTTCCACATCAGTGCAAGAAGCCTCCCAGCCTTCTCTCTCCAAGGACCCCCTTTCTGAAGTGCTGTTTGCTGTGAAATACCCAGACACTTTCTTCCTTTCTATAGAAGTGGCAGTAGGGATGTGACATATGATAATGAGGACACTGCAGTATATTCTGATACTGCCAAATGAATTCAAGTCACAGAGAAGACTGAAATTAAAGCTAACATGAACTCACAGCCAAGAGCTGCTCACAACTTGGAATACAAAACTGAGTGAATTTTCTAGCCCAAAACTTCTCAAGCCAGAACTGCCCTGGTGCCTATTTATAAAGCTCTTTGGGGACGGAACGTGCTATATAAATGCCACATAATACCCTAACAAATACTTCAAATAGACAAAACCAGGCAATTTTATTTCACAAGCCAGCAAATACAGCACGCTGGAAACGTTAGTCATGAGTGTGGACTTCTTAGCGCAGTTATGGCTGGTGAGATGCTCAACTGACAGCCCTGCTGACTGAAATCCTCTGTCTATCCACGTGATCTGTCAATATTGCCAACCTGAAGACACTAAGGGAGCTGCCCGTGTGGTGGCAGCTGGTATAGACACACTGGTAACGCTCAGGCCAAGGCTGTTTGTAGTGTTCATACTGCTTGCCATGCTGACAACCGAGGAGGTGGTGCTAGTGGCTGAGGTTGAAGCAGTTGAAAAAGTTGTTGAGGGCTGCAGCGAAGTTGTGTTCTCAATACTAGTGTGCTAGAAAGGAGACAAAAAGAATGAGGATCACGGAGCAAATAAACCACAGTGGAAGAGGCTGGGGAAAAAAAATCAAAATAAAAAAAACAACAAACTTTTAAGTAACAGCAGCACATGCAAAAGATAGGCTTTATCTACATTCCAAGCAAGCAACTAAGTTGCATGCTTGTGATTCTTTTTTGTGATTCAGAGAAAACTATTACATGATAGCCAAATTCAAACTGCTATATCATCACAAAATTATACCACAGTAACTCAAACGTAACATATATCATTCCATCACCCCGCATTTTGCCAGCTAACCTCTCCTTTTTGGAGACGTTTCAGCTCACCACTTCTATGTTTGTTTTTTCTTTCTTCTTTTAATAAATTTGTTACAAGACATCCTTTTTTCTTTTATTTCATCCCCCCTTGCTGGCATGACAATTTCCTCTGCAGCTGTGTGACTGGTAAATCTCAGTGATTCCTAATCTGATACAAATCACGAGTGGTAAAGACTTTTTTTGCCACTAGAGGGCTGGCAGTCTTTCTTCTCTGAGATAGGGCTCTTGTTTCAGTTCTCAAGGTACTGGGACACACTGAACTTGAAGAGAAGGTCTCCGTTATCAGATAAACTGACTATATGCCAAAGAGCTGTTGAACTGCAAACAGGAC